TGAGTGCATGCCTCTCCCAAAACAGTGTATTGGGTTTAGAAATGGGCACGATCTGCCGGTTCAGTGATTGGTGCCAGTTCAGGCCACTGGCCACACAGCTGTCCCTCAGGCACCCTGGCTTCCCAGCTCCACCTTCTCTGGTGGGCACCCACCCAGAGGCAGTGGCATGGCTTCCGAGTCCTGCCTCCTCCAGTGGTACCCACTCAGGGGCAGCTGGAGGGAAGCCATAGTGCCTGTGGAACAGCTGTGCAACTGGAGGGCCAAAATGTGTTCCGTGCCCATCTCTAATTCAGTTGCCACCCTACTCAGGCTACATGCTTGTCCTGCTGTACAGCTTCTGTACCATTTAAAAAGCATTGGAAGCATGGTATTTTATCTGTTTGTTTGTTTGTTCAGCTTTTATATCACCCATCTAGCTACAAGACCATTCTGGGCATTTTAGGCCACTTCTTCAATAAGACATCCAACTGCTTGAAATATGCTTCAAAACACACCATCCTTAAAATTTGCTTTGGGAAGAAATCTAAATTACACATGTAAAATGATGCCTACAAGGTACCATTATCAAGCCTTTTCCATTAGTTTCTGATTAATTACTTATTGAAGGTAATAAAGAGCCTGGACATATTCAGCTTAAAATTCTAACATAGGGGTGTGCCATTCAGGCCATTCTAGGGACCATTTTACCCTCATTAGTAGATAATATGGGTTAGACAACAAGCGGTATGTCTCCTGTGAAAACTACAAATAGTGATAAAAAAATATGACACAAGAGTATTTGCCAAAAATAGATTGTAGGTTGAGTGATATGGCAATTGCAAATTTCATCATACAGTGCTGCTCACTTTGTTTATTCAATACATCTCTCACTCACTCAATTTCCCTCACACATCACTGTAGGTTATTTTTAAAAGTGAGGCTCATTTATGGTCCACTGTACTTTGAGGAGGCCCTAAGTGCCTTGAAAGGATCTCTTTTTCACCACAAGTGTCCGGTTCAATAGAAAAAAAAGTAAAACTACACCAAGGTACCACCAAACATGGGAAGCAGAACAGCCATCTCTTTCTTATATCACTTCGGACTTGATAAAAAAAAAAGGAGAAAAATAGCTCTCTGTCTGGCCTTAGAAGACTATGGTTGAAATCCTAGACGCAGAGGTGTAAGTAGTCATTCCGACACGTGAACAATCTCAACCCCTTTACCCTGAAGTATAGGTATGAAGCCCCACAAACAAAAAGAAGATAAATGTAGTAAGCTCCCACCCATCCACACCCCGCCCCCAAAGAAAGAAAACAAAGAAAAAGTTTATCCTTCTCACAAAAGCCGAGTGTATACGGCTGGGCAATGTTGTCATTTATCTTCTGAACACTCACCAATATATTCACCTTTAGATTTTGGCACATCTAAATTTGAGTACCATGGGACAAAGCCCTGGCTGCCCTGCCCTAGTTACAGCCCTCTTAGGAGTAAGCACCAATGAACACAATGGGGCTTTGTAGCAGGAGAGCCAATAGCACCTGCCTGTCACAATGGAACCTTGGCAGGAGAGCCAATAAGGAGGAGGGAAGGCGGGAGCAGGAGAGAAGGGGGGGTACAAAAGGAGGAGCCTGGAGGACAGAGAGAGTTCAGTTCTGTGTGAGCTAAGATCGAGATTAGAGTTCTGTGTGAAGCTCTGGAGGAGTGTGAGATAAGATAGGAGGAGTGTGAGAGTGGAGTAGTGTGAGGCAGTGAGACAGTGAGAGTATAGTGAGAGGACAAACATAAAGATTCAGATCAGAGGTTCAAAGGGTATTGATTGAGGTAGACTGAAATCAGAGATTGGGATTCAGTTCTGTGTGAGCTAAGATCGAGATTAGAGTTCTGTGTGAAGCTCTGGAGGAGTGTGAGATAAGATAGGAGGAGTGTGAGAGTGGAGTAGTGTGAGGCAGTGAGACAGTGAGAGTATAGTGAGAGGACAAACATAAAGATTCAAATCAGAGATTCAAAGGGTATTGATTGAGGTAGATTGAAATCAGAGATTGGGATATATATCGAAGTAACAGAAGAAGTTAAATATAGTTTATATATGTGATTTGCTTCCTGTGATTGACACTGTTATTTTCAACCAATCATTAACCCCACCTTGATAAATAAACAATGTGTTTGTTAACTGGTCTGTCCTTGAATTAATTGATGTTTAAAAGAAAACATCTGGTGGCAGTGTAAGAAGATAGATGCAGCTTGCCTCTTTCTGAGGAACCAGAACATAATAAAGGTTTCTAAGAAGGAGTTGCATCACAGGCTTAATTTCAATTGTAAGAAGATAGATGCAGCTTGCCTCTTTGTGAGGAACAAGAACATAATAAAGGTTTCTAAGAAGGGGTTGCATCACAGGCTTAATTTCAATAAACTTACATTGCTGTAGCTGTTACACATTCAGGAATCTACCTGAATTTTTCTCATTGTTGCATATGTTACTTGTCAAAGTATATGGAGACTGCTGGGTATGAATAGATTTTGCTTCATTTCTAAATTAAGCCTTTCTGGACCCCAATTTCACTTTTGGTCTTTGTCCCTTACTGTCAAGTTCAGTATAAGACACTGGATAGTTAGGAGTTTAGTCATACTCCTGGACAACATGAAAAGTCAGAAACAAAGGTTGCACCATCTTTAATCAAGAAATCCAACATGAAAGAAAACCAAGAGTTGAGGGGAGTGTGGACAAAACCGATAAAAGCTTCTGCTCATCCCTTTCTCTGACTATTCATGGGTACAGTACATGTTTCTATTCAAAGAGAAGTAAAATCAAGAAACGGACTCTCAATAAATCAAAGGAAGGTTTTTCAGTGAAATACTCTTTAGTACAATATTATATTTAGGAATACAAAAGATTAAAGGTCCAGCATAGATTCCATAAAGCATTTAGTATTGCAGCAAAATTCTTCACTCAGGACTAAATGGTCAAATTCAAAAACCTCAAAGGGTTTGGAAACTTCACTGGAATCTGAAATGTCCTCATGCTTCCCTGTGAATAGCAAACTCTTCATTATAAAGTACATGTGATTAAGCTATGTTTTGTAGTTTTTATTTTTCTCCTGAGATCTTATCATATTTCCGTTTCTGCACATGTATAAAGAATTAAACAACCATTGCTTGAACAGGCACACTCCAAGGCAAATCTTTCCTAACTTTTTTCTTTTAGATTTTTTAATAGCCATTAACTCTGACATTTCTCAAGCCTTTGCACAATTTGCATTTGTCCAAACGTCATAAAACACGAGAGAGGCAATTTTCTTAGTGCTTTGTCATTATTTTATCAGCACAATAAACAAGCTGCTTCCAGGTTGCAGCTGCAACTGAAAGTCATCTAACTTCGTGATTTATTGAAATTTTACTAATAGTTCAAATATATTTGCAAATGTATGTTATAGAATGTGTAGAAGGGAATACGTTGTGTGGGGGCAATTCTAGACAAATGAGAAGACATACAGTAACAATCTATTTAACCACTTTCTCCTACTTGATTTGAGGATGAGTATTGGAGGAAATACTCATCCTCAAATCAAGTTCTGAAGTTGAATTTGTTTTCTTTAGTCTACTTGACCACTAAGACTGCTTACAACATTAGCACACAGCCTAGAAAGGTAACATTGAAGCCTGAAAGCAAGTGTGGGCAACTTGTGGCTCTCCAGATACTACTGCACTTCCAGCTCCAGCCAACCAAATTCAGTGTGATCACTGGTTGTGAGAAGTGTAATCCAACAACCTCTGGGCTAAGGCTTGGAAATGTACTTTTAGAATATAACTCCCAGAATCCCTAGCCAATGTGGCTACTGTTCTGTACCCAAAAATAACTTTTCCAAGCTCTGATTCTGGAGGGACATCAATTGCTCAACTCTGACTGAAAGGGCTATATTATGTCCAAATCTTAACCCAAACATATATAAATATGATAACTACCCTACATTGAGTCAAGGAAAGTAACCCATCTAGTCCAATTCTGTCTGCTATGAGGATGGGTAATTGCCCCTGGCAAATGGCCTCGTGAAGGCTTCCCTTCCAGAGCAACATGACACATACCTCCAATATTCCCTTGAAGAGGCAGGAGCTCATCGGCTTGTCCCAAATCCAAGAAAGTTATTGAAAATTCCTTTAATCAGATTGAAAAAGGAGGATATTTTTCCATTGTTCTCAGTCCCAGTCCTATCATAGAGTAGACTGAATATAGCTGATTCTGGATGTCACAAACATGACAAAATGGTAGTCATGCCATTTGATATTGAGGAAAGGGAAATGTCTGTGCAATGTTGTGCCTTAGAAGCCAAAACAACTAGATAAGTTGTTATAATCTATTTTGTTTTGAGAAGCAGGGGAGAGGGATATTGCTGCTGTGACTCAGGCAGCAAAATATTGAGGGCTGGAGCTGGTTGAGTTACTGAGCTTGAGCAGGCAAAACAACCACCAAAGAGTGTCCTGTTCAAAGGCACTGGTGGCTTTATTTACTTTTTTAATGTTGCTGCATACTGTCATGTAACTGTAAGCATTAAATACTGTTTGTGAATAAGTGTTGGCAGTACTGAGTAGCTAAATTTAAAAACTGGCTCCTTGGTTGATGTTCAGTAAGGAGTTCTTGCTTCAAACAAGTCTTCATCTGTACTGAAACAATGTGACAGTTTCCCTGAAATTGAGCATATTCATGATTATTTGGAGGCAATATCACTTAGACATTATTCAGCCTCCAAAACAAAATCATGTCTTCTTAGTACATAGAATGGGACCCCCTTTGGCTGGAGACTCTCAGCTTTGCACCTTGGTGGTTTGGAGATTTCTGGTCACCGGCGTAATCTCACCATGCAAATTACCTCTGTCTCCAAACTTCTGACAGTCATAGTAACTAATGCTGATCTTTGGGCGGATTTGAGTGTGTACTGCCAACAGAGGCACTGTGTGGGGCTGTGACACTGATTGTGCTAGAAGTCTTTCTGAACAGAGATGTCAATGAAGCAAAGGAATTTTCATACCTGAGTTAACTAGCTGCTGCTCCATGACCCCGCAACCCAAGACCTCCATCCAATCTCCTTGGAAGTTGATCTCCATCTCAAAGGAAGGATGAGTAAATGGGAAGTAGCAGTCCACCCATCTAATCTCAAGTCCTGTGTGCCATTGTTTGAAAAACAAAAGTAGAAGCAAAAAAGAGCTGGTGATTAAAAGGTGTCTATCTCTCCCACCCCTCAGTTACACTTTCCCCTTAGCTAATGACATCAATTACTGCTACTCCTGGAAAATAATGAGCAAACAAACAATTTGTAAATACTTTTTCCAGGTGTGTATGGGTGCTTATGTCAAAGACATGATAAATCTTGGATATTATGAAGATGAGCCCCAGGGATGGGGGTGGGGAACACTGATGTCTTTTCCAATATGAAAAACACTTCGTGCAGTTCAGACACTCTTTAAAACTAAATCAATCACTTGTCAAACTTCAGCAACCACCTGGCATGGCAGGAAAATAAGTCCAGATCATGGGCAAAGCAGGTAATTTTGTTACGCTCAGTAACGAGAAATAACTAACAACTCCCTTGAGATATAACTAAATCTTTTTCTATTATTATTTTACAATTCTACTTTTTTTAGTTGTTACCTTAATAACCTCTTTTAGCAAATAAATCTCCATAGCCCTCTGCACTATTGTTGCAACCTACTTTAAATACAAAGCTATTCTCTCCTGATTTGTGCCTCCATTTGAATATTTTATACAGGCATAAATGAATAAAAACTATATATAAGGTGCTGAGGTGTTTGTAATATATACACGACAAGCTCCATTAGCCAAATGGCATGGGGAAACTTAAGACACAGGAACGCATACAGAAAGGCAGCTGGCTGACTAGACGGCCTGATAAACAGAAAAAGTTGTGAAATGCAAACTCCAAGAGCCTTATGCCACAAATCTTGGACAACAGAAAGGTAGCCAAATAAATAAATAATTTTTTATTTTTTTTAAAAAAAAGAGGGCACCAAGCCAAAAGAAAGAGGAGATAGAAGTGGGGACTTATAGCAGCTCGGAACCAGTTTCCTCAGCAAACTGAAAAGATTTGCCAGGTAAGAATAGGAAAGCTGTGTGGTAATAGTTAATGGATCAATAGAAGATTTGTTAAGAAGATGCTCATCTGATCATGTGGTAAACAAAAACCTGTTTAATCATCTCTTATGCATTTTGCGATAATCCAAGGGTTGTCATATCACCTGGTTAGCCAGGTTTCATCCCCCCCCTCCAGATTCTGGAGATGCCACTTGGATCACTATCTAGTCTGGTTTCCTTCACTTTTTAAAAAGCTAGTTCCTAGTCCTTACAGAACAAGGCAAAATGTAGAACCACTGCTTTGGCGTATGCACATTTTTGCACAACATGAACGGTCTGCATTAATTAGCATATTTTGTTCATATGTATAGTGTGCAAATTAGACTCTGGTTGACATAGCATGCAAATTAGGCTGCCCAGATCTGGGGAACTGGAATATGGTGCCCCTAATTATTCCTCAAGATGGCATGTATCACCTTCATCCACTCTGATATTACTTTAACAACAACAAAATCTGAGAGATAAATTAGGCCAAAAATAAGTCAATGGTAGAAGATCACCCACTGAGATTCTTGCCTGCATGGAGAATTTGAATGCGGCCGCACCAGTCGTAGTCTAACGCTTAAAGCATGGATAAATACATCTAATTTACAAATGACACAAATTAGATACAAAAGAACAAATTGTTAAGAGCATGCATTTTGCCAGGTGACAGAAAGAGAATGATTTAAAGACATGTCAAAGGAATAATTGTTTACAGGACTTGGAAAGTACTGTTAAACGATATATTCAGCACAATCGACTATGTGAACTTATGCAAACTACTGTTACTTTTGTCCCCTCTTCTTAATAACACTGACCTAACTTTAAAACACTGCTGTAAAAATTAGGAATGGCACATATGAACACTTAGGATTATACTACAGTATATAAATATTGCTAGTGAAAGGTGAGTGGACATAAAACAAGGTTTAGTCACTGATTCAAAGTAATCAATCAATTGTGAAATGTATTTTCTGAGCACACACACTTTCCTAGTTTCCACAGAAGCAAATCATATGATGTCCATACAGCAGGGGTGGGCAATTAATTTCTATAGGGGGCCACATGAAAAAACTGAACTATGTTTGGGGACCGAACCAACTTTACTTTAAAATGAAACAGTGATATTTGCTGGGACTACGGGGAGGTGGGGCGAAGCTGGAGGAGAAACAGTGCACTGCCTGGAGCATGCAAGCCTGGCCCGGGCTCTGCCACTGCTACCCGGCCAGGATGGGTCCTCGCCTCCTTGTCGGGATCTGGCTCAATAGTAACAGTCAAAACTGGTGAGATCCTGGCGTCGGATCTCGTGAGTTTTGCTTACTGCCGTGCTGGTTTGCCTAATGCCGTGCTGGGTGACCAGCTCACTCAGCAGCGACGGGCGGGCCGGACAGGAGTGGCCATATGTGGCCCGCGGGCCGCATTTTACCCAGGTCTGCCATACACGTTGTTTACAAGGCTAGCAGCATTTCTGAGAGGCTTCCAAGAATAATATTAGCCAGGGAAACAAGGGCTAAAATACTAGATTAGTATTAATCTAGTAATTCAATGGAATTTAAATAGGTACTGACTGACCAAATCCCCACTGATTCAATGGACTTATTCTAGTTGCAACTTACTACTGGATTCTAGCCAATGTATGTGTACCTCAAGCTTCTTCTTTTTAAAGGAGGGGTGGGACAATTTTGTTGTGACCACAGCATATTGTGCAGCGGAGCTGGGAGGGGGCGGAGGGTTTGCATGTAACTGTGTGTTGGGCACATCATCAGCATGAAGAAAATATATACAATGTGAAGGTTCCCGACTGCAAACGGTGATGTTTCTACAAAATATCTGTCATATAGAAAGTAGCTGAAGAGATAGCACAACATAGCTAGAAGTACCTGGATGGTCTCCTGTTGATTTCCCCAATGGCCTTGGGAAGGAAATCCTACTCTTAAAAATGAAGTGAGTGTCTCCTTTGTTATGTCCAGCTGTGAAAACGTTCACTGAGCATATGTTTGTGGAGTTTTCCAGGAGGTGTGCAAGGAGGTAAGCCCAAATTTGCAGCCATAAAAAAGTCATTTTTATCCATAAAAGAAACGGAGCTAAAATAATGACTTAACCAGTATGAATAAGTTGAACCATTATTTATGACAGCAATAGCTGGAATCGTACTGGTGTTTGTGCAAGAGTCACATAAATTGCCACAGATAATTCGATAATTCAAAATGTGCAATCGGGTGCATGACAAGATGTGCCCCAACACTTTGTCGGTAGGCTGCAATTAGTTGCTGAAAGCTATACAAACCTTATATGAACACATTAGGATTCTGATCATTGATAATAATAACAATATATTGTGGCAGCACATTCCAGAAGTTGTGAACTGTGTGAAGAAGTACTAACTTATCTTCATCTACTACATATTATTAAATCTTTATGAAATGATAACTAATGACACAATGCGCAGGGTGGTTAAGTTACAGTCTTCCAGATGTACTGCCAATCCCACCATTTATTGCTAGGCAAGTTTCAGGCAAGCTTTCCCTCAGTAACTGCTTGCTTGAGTGGGATGTT